TTGAGATTATCACATAATAAAAGGCTTGATGTTATTCTTATTTCCAAGTTTTGGATACAATATTCACAAACGAGAGAGTGAGGGATAGGATATTAAACAAGTGCATTTATTTATTACTATATAAAGTCAATACAATATCAAGCTCTTAACTTGTATTTAGTGCCTGAATATTTTAGTCATATATACTAAAACAGGGGGAAAGTGTTGAAGACACACTCTGATTGACTACTTAAACTCCAAATATCCCTCACTATTGACCTCCGAACGACACATGCGAAATTTGCGCCTGAAAATGCTGTAATCGCTGCAGGAATAAATTGGTTAAATTCATATTGATGCGCTCAGTATATTATGTCATTGTTCTAGTTTATACTAAAACAGTTATACACCTCTGTGTCGGTGGCTGGTGGTGGATATTTAGTTTGCCTTTTTTGCTTGGTGAATATCCACGTGAATAGTTGTTAATATCAGATATCAGTTACAACCTCTGTGGGCAGGGGGGTAAGGGGTTCATGGAGGAAGGAATTCTAGGGGGTAGAGGGTAACGTTGCACTTTGGGGGAAAAAGAATATTATTGGTTCCTTCATGCCACAAGACTTGATGTAAGCCTCCGCAGTGACATGTACGTGGGTGAGACTAAACTTGTTTTTGTTTCTCGTAGCACCAGAATTTTTCCGTTCCAATCCTGCTTGCACCCACCGACTGATTCCATGGCTTACAAGAGATTTAAGGGCGTTGTTGAATGACGTGGAGAGTCATGTCAGTTTTGTTCTTCAGATTATTTTGTCTCTGATCAACAAGTAAGTCATGTTTAGATGTGAATCACTCCATGATTGTGTTGTAAGGAATGCCGTCTGTATCAGAATTACTTCTTGCCATTTAGATAAGTTTTCGACTGAATATCGGAAGAACGTGTAATCCGAGATTGTATTGGTTTTGCTTTACTTCGCTCTGTTATTGGTCCAGAAAACTCGCGCCACTCTCTTAATTAACCAATCAAATGAAAAACTAAAACAAATCACGACTCGGTCGCCTGCGTTTTCCCGCGCTTTAGTCAGTTTGGTTGTTTTTACTTATACTGTAGGTCTCATTGGCTCTTAGAGGTATTTTCCTTTCTTCTGATTGGACATTGTCCTTACTTTGGTTCGAAAATAGCTCTTTAACGCTTACTGCGGCGCATAGAGAACTTATACCCCTTTGGTCAAAACAACTAAACATCTCAGTTTAAGAATTAAACCTTTCTCTTTTTTTCACTGAAACGAGAAAAGATAGAAGATAGCCAAAACTTCTATGTGGATAAAGGGGGTAAGTTTCTAAAGAAACTGTGGTGCTGCGTCGGTGGGAGAGTGTAACAGTGTAATTTAGTTTTATCATTTGAGTTGAAAAAGTAAATTGGCCAACGTGAAGGGTGTGAAAGCTATCGTTTCGAGCGTTAGCCCCTCGTCAGAGCGAACTTAGACAGGCTAACGCTTGAAACGTTATCAACTCAATTGATAATAGCAAATTACCCTTTCATGTAGATAGGCTGAGTTTTTAAATCTGTACTATTACATTTTCAGGGTTGAGCTTAGTTCTGAAGAGTTTTCTCGCCAGCTGCAGCCTTTCCTATTTGACAAAACAGATCATTTTATCCACGAGTTTATAGGCTTTGCTCGTTCGCCATTTGATATGACTGCTTATGATGAGCGTGCGCAGTACAGCTGGCCAAGTGAGTCAGAGCAGGAACCCAGAGATACGCCGACTGTGTTTCACAGTCAAACTTCAGGTCTGAACCGTTTATAACCATTTTATATCGGAATTAAAGGAATTAAAGCCGTTGTATATGCAACGTTATTAGACCTAACCCTCCCTTGTTCGCTCTGTGGATTGTGTTGGCCGATGAGTTTACGTTGGCATGGTGTATAATAGTAAAACAACGGATTTTTCGTAGGATAATCCAAGGTAAACCCCTCCGAAGCGTTGCATGACTAGTGTTTTCATAAAAAGCCATGTTACAGTTGTGTACTTAGTCGCCAAGCCTTTGATTTGAAGCGAGGCTGAAGGTGACCATGCTGTGATAGAGACCAGCATCTAGTTAGCACGATAATAAAGACCAACAAAGTAATTTACATTTGAAAAGCAGTAACGTTTGTAGCAAACCAAGGTCAATCTTAGCTTCACTCCTGTTCAAAGGCTTGGCAACCAAGCAGGCAACTGTAAAATGGATTATACACGCTTAAATGGGAAAAGAGGAGAGTGGTATAAGGAAAATAGTTAGGCATCGTTTACATTTGACTTCCGTGGTGTAACACTCTAAAGCGTCTCATTAAGGTAGAATTCTCAAAACTGCTCAATGTGGGCATGTAATAATATTATTAGAAATTGTTAGTGCCTAGAACGCGAAATTTTTCTAAACAGTTCGGCCGGATAATGACAGCTTCAAATCCTCAACTTGGTTGGGGAAAATTTTTTAAAAATATCAAGAACGGAAAAGGAAGAACTTGAATCGGTTAAAAAAAAATAATTTTTGAGGTATTCAACACAATATTAATGTCTAGCGGTCCCCTTTCTACATCAGGCTGGCATACACCTGTCCCAGGCCCCTCTGGCGAAACTCTGTGGCAAACAGACTGGAATAGAGATTCTCCGGCGCGGCAAACTGTAAACAACAGGTGGTCTCCAAGCTCATCACCAGGCACATCCGGACTAAATGGTCGAGCTGGTTTGGAAAGGACTGTGATCATCTCTTCATCGAACTCATCAGTTAGTCCGCAAACAACTCTAGTAGACATTGAACCCACGACAAATTATCAAGCGTCTAATGCGTCATCCGACTCTATAGGGCGTAGTAACAGAAAGAGGTCTTCCAAGGAAACTGTTGGAGAGAAGACACAAGTGGAAACGGAGAACAAGCATCAATACCATCACTATCATCGTAATTCACACAAACACAAACATAAAAGGAAAGAGTCTAAAAGATCGAGCGAGAAACGAGACAGAGGCAAACTTTGTGGAGATACTAATCATGTTGATAATGGTTTAGGCCCGTCTTGTTCTACAAATCTTTCTATTGTTTCTTCAGAATTTTGTTCATCTCCACAGGAGTTTATTGTAATCAGTAGTGATACCTCTACCTCTCCGGTATCTTCCACTGTTCGGCCAGGACCTTCGTGCAACGATGCAACGCAATTTCAACGAAGGAAGGAAGGGTCTGGATCGCGGTCAAAATCTGGATTACGACTGCTGTCTAAAGGAAGGGGAGTTTTTCAAGAAGACAAACGTTCGCGAAGTCACTCTGTTAATGCTAAAACGCGCTCAAGGGATCATTCACTTTCGGTTGAAGAGCGTGCGATTGAAGAACATCGTCGATGGCGATCAAACTCTAGGGAAAGACGGTTGAGAGATGATAGTCAACGTTTATCTCCGTCAAGAAAATCTGGTAAGCACAGTCAAGAAAAGATAGGAAAGTCCTCTTTAAGTCCATCCCAGACTCACTGCAAACGTAAAACGCGCGGCGAGAAAATTGACAGTAGACGAACAAAGGAGTATGGTCGATCTCGTTCAAGATCGGGGTCTTACTCTCGAAACTCCAGATCACGACACTCACGATCACAGAAATCACGGACAAGGGACTCACGATCACGCAGATCACGATCAAGATCGCGAGGTTCGCAGTCACATAAATCCCGATCATCGCGAAATTCACATTCCCGGTCACGAGACTCTCGAAACTTACGGTCTAATTCACAATCAAGATACTTCTCACGAGCTTGCACGCCTCTGTCATCGCGAACGCACCATAGCGTTTCCCCTTCTTGCAGTTCTTCTATATCAACAGCGAACTCTGAATCCAAAGTAAGGGAGTCAGTGTCGCACAGTAATGACGCTATTAAGAGGGAAATTGAAGATTTGGAAAGTCGCATAGTGGCTGACAAGAAGCGGCTTCTAAGGCTTTTAATGAAAAAGGAACAGGCAGAAACCGCTTAATTATGACAACAAACTAAAGATTAGTGATAAATTGTAGCGAACTGTTGGTTTATCAAGTTATCTTTAAATTTGTTATTGCATACCGAGACGAAATTCATGTAATTATGGAATAGTAAAAAAGTTATTTTTATATATATGTCAATCAGGCATTCTGGAGAATTGCAAAATTTAATTTTTGTGCAAAACCAATTTGGTATCAGGGATCTTTGGCGAGAATTGAAGCTTTTACCATCTTCCCCTATGACACATGAAATGAAGTTCAGATCAGAATAGCTTATCCCGAATTTATTAGTAATAGAGTGACCGAGAAGGCATTTCTATTTTCAACATAAGTACATTTTCCACTAGAAATCTGATAAGGAGGAAGGAAAATTCCTTAGATTCGTTCTTTCATGTAAAAACAAGTTGTTAGAGTCAAAATGGTAAGAGTTTTAGTAGAGAGTAAAAAAGAAGGGATAACTGAGATTCTGAACGTGGAATGGATGAAAACGATCGAACTTGGGAGTACATCGTTAACCGCTGTATTGACTCAGGTCATTTATAGCACCCGAATGACGCTTTTTAGGCCACTTTTTAGGAGGAAAGTTTCGGATCGTACGCTTCTAAATCAGATCGCACGAAGCAGTTTTTACTCCGCCAACCATAGGTTAAACGTCAGCGCATGTGCGAATGTTTTACTGATTTAAGTGGCTTGCTTTCAGGCTCTCAGTACCAGGTTGTCTCACAAGAGTCAACCACAACCACGCAAGCTTGACAACTAAGCAAATCAATTTTTTATTTCTACCACAATTGCAAATATTTGATTGGTAACAGTGTGGTGGAGAACGTGATTGGTAGTGTGAGGTA